ATACTCAGCAGAAATGTGATATTTGATGAGAAGTCTATGTTTAACCCCATGTTGAAGGTTACTGTTGTTGAAGGTAGCAGGAATGTTGATAAGCAGGTGGAGCTGCAGACTCTCAAAGAGAGTGAGTTTGAGCACCAAGGTGGAGAAGATCAACATGATGAGGATGTCTCTGCAGAGCCAGAAACTTCAGAGTCCAGTGTAGGAGCTCAACAATCTATAGCTTCCGGTAGACCAAAGAGAGCGACTACAGGAGTACCTCCAAAGAGGTATGGTTTCGAGGACATGGTGGCGTATTCATTTCAGGTTGCTGAAGAAGTGGATGCAGGTGAGCCACAGTCCTATAGAGAAGCCGTTTCGGTTGGCGAAGCTGATTAGTGGCTTGCCGCAATGGGAGATGAGATGGAATCCCATGACGGGAATCAGACTTGGGAGCTAGTCAAACGACCACAGGGAAGGAAGATTGTTACAAGCAAGTGGATCTACAAGAAGAAGGAAGGAATCACTTCTAAAGAGGGCACGAAATTTAAAGCTCGGGTGGTTGCACGTGGCTTCTCGCAGAGGGAAGGAGTTTACTACAATGAGATTTTCTCACTAGTGGTGAGACATACTTCGATCAGAGTGCTACTAGCAATAGTGGCACATTATGACTTGGAGCTCGAGCAGCTAGACGTGAAGACAGCTTTCCTACATGGAGAGTTGGAGGAAGAAATTTACATGACTCAGCCAGAAGGATTCTAAGTTCCGGGAAAAGAAGACTATGTTTGTAAGCTGAAGAAGTCCTTGTATGGACTTAAGCAATCTCCGAGGCAGTGGTACAAGAGATTTGACAGTTACATGCTTGAGTTGGGCTACAACATAAGTCCATATGATTGTTGTGTATATCACAGCAAGGCAGAGGATGGTTCGATGATATATCTAGTTCTGTATGTGGACGATATGCTCATAGCTGCGAGGTCAAAGTCTGATATCCAGAAGTTAAAGGGGCTTCTCAGTGCTGAGTTTGAGATGAAGGATTTGGGAGCTGCTCAGAAGATATTGGGTATGGAGATTTACAGGGACAGGTCAAAGAAGAAGCTTTTCTTGTCACAAAAGAGCTAGATCCAGAAGATACTATCGAGGTTTGGCATGTCTTCAGCAAGGCCCTTAAATACTCCTAGTGCTTCAAATGTTCATCTATCCTCAGCTTATACACCGCATTCGGAGGCTGAGAAGGAGTACATGTCGAGAGTCCCATATGCTAGTGTAGTAGGTAGCTTGATGTACGCTATGGTATGCACTAGACCTGATCTTGCACATGCTGTTAGTATTGTCAGCAGGTTTATGATACAATCTGGGAAGGAGCATTGGCAGGCTGTGAAGAGGATCTTTCGGTACCTTAAGGGTACACCTGATGTGGGGATTAGCTTCGGAAGTGATACAGAGTGCTTGGTGTCTGGGTATTCTGACTGGGACTATGCTGGAGATGTTGACACGAGGAGATCGATGATCGGTTATGTTTTCACTCTTGGGAGTTCTGTAGTGAGCTGGAAGGCAACTTTGCAGTCGGCGGTGACATTGTCTACTACTGAGGCAGAGTATATGGCGTTGACAGAAGCTGCTAAGGAGGGAATATGGTTGAAGGGACTAGTTGGTGATCTGGGTCTACATCATGATTAGGCAGTGGTGTATTGCGACAGTTTGAGTGCAATATGCTTGGCCAAGGATCAAGTCCACCATGAGAGGACTAAGCACATCGACGTGAGGTATCATTTCTTGAGGACATAGAAGAGGATTAAGGTGAAGAAGGTTGGCACCGCGGATAATCCTACTGATATGTTCATGAAGCCGGTTCCACATGGCAAGTACCAACACTGCTTGTACTTGCTGAATGTCTTGAGTGGGTGACTCCGCCCTACGAGGCATTGATGACGGGAGAGAGAGAGAGAGAGAAGGAGCAGAGTACATAAGAGATTTCAGAGGAAGAGGATTCAAGTCAAGGTGGAGATTTGTTGATGTGACTTGAATCGGACTATCAGCCCCTACGACTGGTAGTCGGGATCCCGCGGTGTATGGGCTCAATGTTATTTGGGTTCGGATTCTGGGCCTGGTCTGTAACCGTTTCCTTTGCCAGATTGGATTAGGTTTAGACCCACATGGAGAAGTACTATAAATACTTCTCATACTCCTCTGTAATCTGTATTCTTCTCGATATAGTGAAACTGGCTCTCTCTCGCCCGTGGACGTAGCTAACACACATCGTGTTAGTGAACCACGTAAATCGTGTGTCTGTGTTTTTCGATTTTTGCTTTCGTATTCTTGCTTTATCGATTCCGCGATTTCCCGCTCCATAGCAGCACGTTTATAACATCAAGTATTTACACATTCTCTAACATTAATAATTCTTAAATCACACAATTCGAGGGGCATGGATTGGCGCAAATGCTTTATAGCATGAAAGTTAGAACTTGAGGAAATTTGAAAAACCTTCGAGAATTGATATATGTTGAAGAGCGAATTATGCAGGGGAGTTCACAATTTAATAGATGTGTTCGAAAGACACCGACCGGTTGTTTATCTAAAGAAAGACATACATATGGTGGTTGAGAGTAAAGACAAAAACTAATTGATTGCATCACAAGCTCTTTGCATTGTTAAGATCGGTAAGCAGATGATGTGCTAATCACCAACTATTTACTAAAGCTCCATAGAACCCCTCATTATAGTCGCCATGAACTCAATCAGATTAAGAGCTTAGAACTACATTTGGAATTCAGGAAATGATAGGAATTTTTGAGGAAGGGAATGAAGGTTCGATGATTGATGGATAGAAAACTTAGAAGATATTGTGAACGAGCAAGATCGCGGGTGTGTGGTATTGAGTAGGGCTGGAATCTGGTCGGTTTTGGTTTCACCGATAACCAAAAAAAACTGACTGGCCTGCCGACCACCTATCGAAGCTATCCTTCGTTTAACCGAAGAACCGACCTGTCAATTTTCAATTAAACCTTGATTAGCTGACTACCCATGAAAAATTAGTGTCATCTTCGGTTGAACCGATAACTGAACCAAAAATTACAATTAAATACCCTAAAAGACTAAAACACTCTCTATCCTAACCAAAATCAATTCCTCTTTTCTCTCTCTCTCTCTCAGCCAAACTCAATTCCCCTTCTCTCTCGTTCTTCTCTGAACTCACGAACAAAAGCCAACCTTTCTTTTTCCCCTTCCTACTCTCACTCGATATGCCTCTTCTGCTCTCAGGGATCGATGACATAAGAGGAAGAAAGGGAAACAAATCTCGGATCGGAGCTCGAGCTGAATGGAGGGTGGATCTGTACTCCTCCTTCTCTCTTCTCGTGGCCGCGGTTCACCTGCTCTGCCATTAGGGACGACGACGACGACGGTGGATGGACGGGAAAGTGGAAGGAGGGAGGCGGTTAGGCAGAGGTGTGATGCGACAAGGAAAGGAGCTGGGCGGCGGCGAGGAAGGGAACTGAGGGAGAGGGATTAGCCGATTAGGTTTTTAGATCGGGGGTTAAAGGGTTTGGTTTGTCGTTTTTTTTGGGGGGGGGGGGGGGGGGGGGAGGGAGGACGAATCTTAGGGTTGCTCGGTTTGGGTCCGTTTTTCGGGTAACCGCAGTTAATCATCGTCGGTTACCCAGTTACCCGGATCCTCTCTTTCCCCTCTGAGCACCGACTGAAGACACTTTGGTCTCGATTTTTGGTTTTCGTTTAGCTGGAAAGCTGTCAGTTTTGGTTATAACCAATGGTTACCTGCTAACCAAAAATCGAATGGCCACCCCTAGTATTGAGGTGCCGGTTGACAAAATTTTTGGAGTTCCAATGTGAAGGAAATTCGTGTACTTTTTCTATATAAATAAAATTAAAACACAAAACAAATTTAGGTAATTTCATTATGTATAAAATTTGTAACAAATTGTTCGTATGTGTAATTAAATATTTCTTTTTAGTTTGGATTTATATATTGAATTGATTTTTTTTAAAATGTATTGTAATATTTTGTCTAGAATTATGTGATATTAACGTTTTGAATACATAATTCTCCAAAAACATATGATCTCCCACTCTTACTGTCACTCTCGCTCTACGAGTCGGTAATCTATAATAGTCGGACCAATGGACAGAGTTAAAACTAGTTGTATTTACACGAATATTGTGACGAGAAGCGAGAATGTATCCACACACATGCTGAGCTTAACTAGAGTTATTTAACTTAACATATGCGACCGCGCGCATATTGAATGAAACTAAACTAACAAATGTGACATCCAAAAACGATTCTCTCTCATCTAACCTTTGTTTTACTGCACACTTCATCAAGCGCGTGTACAAAATCCTCTCTCTATATGTGTGTGGAGTTGCACTCTCTCTTCTCTTTCTTTTTAGGGGTCTTCAAAATGGTTATTAACATAATAATTACCAAAAACTAATTAAGGCTAAATTCTATTAGTATGGAATACAATATATTAACCAAACTATCCAAATTAATAGAACAACCAAGTTAAGCAAATTAAAGTTTAATCAATTTGGTTAATAGGTAATCATGTTAAAATAATATAATATAACATTATTTTTACACTTCTCTTAATCAATCCATAATACATATAATGAATAAAATATAAGAATCATGATACAATTATGTGTATAATTATGAGAGTGTACCATACTATCATGAATTAACCAAATCAATTATTCTACAATATGGTTATTCATACGATCATGGTACATTCTCATACTATCATTGTATAATCTTATGATTCTTATGTACTACCAAACATTATAACCATAGTATAGACTGGTAATATATGTCTAACTTTTTTCCAAAATATATCAAAATAGATATAATTTCTTTTTGTTCCAAAATATATTAGAATGGATGTCATTTTGAATAGTATGAATTTTTTTATAGAAGTATGATTTTGAATAATATGATAATTTCTGTGGAAAAAAAAGGAATTTAGTTAGAAAGAAACATAATAAGTATAATTAATTTAGGATTTTTTTTTTTTTTTTTTGCATGACCCAAGACAAAATGCGTCATCCCAAGACCTAAGCAACAATGGTAAATCAAATTGACCGATGGCGATGGCGATGGCGATTGCATATCTCATTTCGTACTTTCACTTTGTAACAATAATAAGAAGTCAAGGCAGTTCTAGCTTCTAGGAATGGGGAAGGATCCACTTAAAACGGAACTAAGTGCTTTCCCCTCGTCTAAACTATTCATTCTGTTCTACCCATGCCATAACAGACCCTGAATGTCAACTCTTGCCTGTAATAACTCTCTCAGTTCAGTCTGGAAGAAGCACTGGTCCATCTTAAAGGTCCGCGATCCATTGCCTAGTTTGGGGGGCAGTGCGAAGACATCTCTCAGGCTGCCTCACTATGTAGATCTGGTCCCCTACTTCGCTCACCGCGTCCTGGTTTCGGTGCCATTTCCATAGCGCCCAAGTTTCATTCTTTACCTGAAAATGACAATGGGAGTGAGTTCACATGATCCCTTCCAGCGGGCTTTGAACGTAGGAGTCAAAGAGACTCCTTGGACAATGAAGTTCAGCTTCAGTCACAGGATATGACAACAACACAGCAGAAAACGACCACCTGTTTCTCCTTGTGATTCCAAAAAGAATTGTGGTGGGTTCTTTCTTCTGAGGTTTTGGCATGATGCAGTTGGCATTCATATGAAAGAAAGAAAACTCTTGAGACAGAGAATGAGACTACGTACCTCGAGAATTCCATGGCCAAAGCTACTCTCCCTGAAGGCGCTGAAATCTGGCTGTCGATCCCAGCAGAAGTTGCCAGCTGCTGGGCCAGTTGTAAAGTTTGCTGCACAGAATCCACCCATGTATTCATCAGCTGTAGTTGATGGTTCGGGACACTCACCAGGTTCATCAGCATGTTCAACAGCCATCTTTTCCCTATTGCCGCCATCACCAACCGTGATGTACACAGGGCCACAAGGATCCAGTGTGTAGTTGTACACTCTATTCGATCTCTCATAGGCATGAACCTAGTAGTTGACATTCGACAAAGAAAGAAGAAGCTAATTAGAGGCATTGCATATGAAAAGAAAACACTGTTCAGGCGTTCCATTTATGTTCATAGTAGAATTGCATACATGTCCATTGAAGACTATGTCGACACCATATGAGTAGATAAGTTCTTCCATTTCCACCCGCATGCACTCAACCTCTCTGTAATGGGCATTATATGAATTGTACCAAGGCGGATGCCACACAGCAACCAGCCACGGAGTGATCGATCTGTCCACATTGGCCAGATCCCTCTCCAGCCACCTATACTGCTCGGCTGCAAAGTGTTTGTTTTATTAAGAGAGGACTTTCAGCAGAGAGTAAAAGGCGAAGGTAGGAAAGAGGACTAAAAGAGAGACAAAGATAGTACTGGAAGAAACAACTACAAGTGGTCCTAGCATACGGACACAATTGAAGGTGTAAAGAGAGACTGCAAAATTACATGAATGATCATAGGAGATGTATGCTCCAAGCATGACGAAATGGATTCCACCAGCGTTGAATGAGTAGTAGAAGGTGGATCGTGATCCACTCTCTTCGGAAGGGAATGCAAACCGCGAACTGTAGGACACAAATGTTTGGCCCCCAACCTGTGGCTCTATTTCATGGTTTCCTTCCACCACCATTATTGGAACTTTAGCAATTAAGTCCTGCATAAACCTGTGAAACAAGAAACATCTCGTCGCTGTCATGGACATCAACTTCTTGGACAGGCAAAGACCAGTACAAAAGTTTCAACACACTAACCGTCCCCAGTAATCCCAACGAGGCTGGTAAGTCTCATGGATGGGAGTATTGGAGAAAGAGCAAGAGTAGCAGTCAGCGCCCGTTCCGTTTGTAAGGTAGAGATTTGCATAGCACACATCGCCAACCAGCACAACAAGGTCAGGGTTGTTGCTCTTAACGTGACTTATCGTGGCAGTTGTGTTGTACGTAAGGCCAAGATCCCCAAATATTGCAATCTTCCTAGGGTAACTTTTTGGACCAGAAGCTGGCATTGTCCTGAAACTGTAGATATCGCTCATGGCCCCAATTGATGGATCCCCACACCTATAGTAATACATCGTGTCAGGCCTCAACCCTGAAAACCAACATCAGGCAATCAGCAATGAATTCATTACCCACTAGTAAAAGGTCATAAGGGATTATCATCCATCACCCAATTATTCATATTGCAAACAAGAAGCAGGGTTAAATGAATTGCTGGGTGAGTAGGTGAAGCAGGAACCTGTAAGGCGGGCATGGTGGATGATTCCGGAGGTGTAATTCTGGAGGCCTTCAAACGGATAAAGCTGACTGTAAACGAGTGATTTGCCCTTGGCTTCGTGTCTCAATGGATATCGATGCTTCCCATATCGCACGATGCTGCCAACAGTTGTTGGGTCCAATGGCTTTATGTTGTACCCAATTTGAAACTCCCCTGAAACCCAATAAAATGCAAACCAAAATTCCCCCCAAATTTGAAAACTCTGAAACAGGGAGATTTACCACCGGAATTGGAAATAAAAAGAAATTGCGGAGAAGAAAGACCTGTAACCCAAGAGATCCAGACAGAATCGTGGTTCGCGGAAAGCGAAACCGATATCTGCTCCGGTTCGAACCCATTGACCCGGCGCACGACGCGAGGATCCGTGTCGGGCAAATCAACAGCGTTGCCGCGCAAGCTGAGGTCGAAGGGAACCGTGACGGGCTCAAATGGGCCGTCCAGAGTTGAAGGGATGCGGTCGCCGCCGGCATGAATTGCAGAAGGAGAAACGCAAAGCAGGATGAGCAGTAGAAGGGATGCAAAAACAGAGGAAGGTAACAGAGGCGCCATTGTTGTTCTTCTTTGAGAGAAAGAGACCTCAGAGGTTTCCTCCCATCAGGGATTTGGGAATTTTCGGCTGCCCTTTCTCGGCAAGGTAACGAAAACGGGAGCTTACAGAGATGGAGGAAAGAATGGAGTCCCAAATTTATTAATTTTTGCGGGGGAAAATGTTTGGGTGACTGATTTCGCGCGCCATATTTGCACAGGATTCCGACGAATCTCAACTCCATTATTATTACAAGTTTCCATACAGGCTTTTCGTTTTGGTTTTGCTCTGCCCCTGCTCTGCTGCTCCACGCATCTCCGTAAGAAGGGATCTTCCTTTGTAATATTCTTTATTCTCATTCCACGCCATCGTCACCGCCACCCTTGGCCCATTGTTTTAATGGACCCGGCCAGTTCGACCAGCTGAATTAGCACGACTAGGGCATTTGATCAGGCTAAACCCGCTAGAGTTGGGAAACGGTGTGGTTTAATTCAGATCAAGAAGCTGGAGTATAGACTATAGTCCAGATTATAAACTATACGGTTCAGATTAGATCGTGTGTGGTCTGGTCTGTTACGGTTTGATCTTGATAGACTACATTGAATGGAAAATGAATAATTTGATTAGTCAACTACATAAAAAAATTGAACCAATAGCCAATTGAAAATTTGTCTTTTTCTGAAAACATATATTCCAACATGCATGAATAATTTTGACACTATAAATCTAAGTAATAATAAAGATACAAAGGCAAAGCATCCCAACTAGGGGTCGGCAACGGGAAACGGGTATTTGGATATACCTATACCCGTCCATTTTTGTGGGTTACGAGTACCCAAATACCCGTAATTTTTTTTACGACACGGGACTTAGGATCAAGAAGTTAATGGATACTCACGGGTTACGCGTTAATACCCGTTTGGATATTACGAATACCCGTACTACCTGCCCAACCGCTAAAATTGACCGATTTAGTTAGATGATAGATAAATTTATCAACTAATTTCAGTTTAAGGATTAGTAAAAGGAGTTTATGACTCTAATATGGTGGCATTGAAAGTGAAATGGGAAGGCCTCAAGTCGGCTGCAGGGACAATGTGTCTCTCAAGTGTGGGAGGTGCATTGCATGTTTATAATGAGTTTGTGAATGTTTGCCAAGTTGATTTATCATTTCCCTTTATGATGAATGTAAGATGTTTATTATTGCATGTGGAAATGTGGTTGATTGGGACTCGCGAGTGAGCTAGTGAATGTCCTCCGCGAAGCCAAGCAGATAGTTCCAGAATCCCTGTTGAAGTATGGTACTCAAGTCAGGAAAAAGGAATCGTGGTGCCCACTTTCGCGAGATAAGTGCGGATGCTCCCAAGGCTAAGAAGATACCATTCAACTTGGATGATGAGGACTGAATCCAAAGATCATCTTATTCGCTCACTTGATTTATATTATTATTTTCTTTAAGGTCGTGAACTCCAATGATATAAATCAACTGAGCGGATAAGGTCGCTGCATTTCACGGCTTGACATTGGAGTTCACGGCCTCTAAGGTCGTGAAATGGAATCACAAACCGTGAGCAGCGAGGTGTCCAGGAGGGTTCCATAGGTTACTTACGACCAGGCAGTTCAGGGTCCCTAAGACCGTGAACTTTGAGTGAAAACCGTGAACCCTGTAGAGTGAAGCGGTGCATTTTGGAGACGATACTGAGTTCACGAACGCGTTTAGGTGTTCACGGCCGTGATCTGGAAGGCTGTGAACTCAGCTCGATCTGGGTTTAAGTGTGGAGCTGAAAGGAAGAAGAAAGGGGGGGGGGAGAGACCTAGAGTGAGAAAACTTCTCCTTCTTCAGATTTTAGAGTGAGAAAGTGACGAACCAAAGAAGAGGAAAAGCTAGGGTTTGTATGAATTGAATGATTTGTGTGTGGACGTGTTTTAATGTGAATGTGGAGGTATTATTCAGAAATGATTGTGTTGTGTGAAAGTCTATCAATCTATTCGTCATTCTAACCTAGTTTAGAGAGAAACCCCACTTAATTTAAGAGGCTCTTCTAGAGATGGGTTTTTTGGGTAAACCTCCTAATTCGTGTTAAACACTTAGGGTGTGGTTGCGAGTGGCCGTTAGAACTCCAATTCGAGGGTGAAGTCTAACTAATCCTTAGTTGATAGGTTGAGGGTCACGTAAGTGGATTGGATCGTATCCCATTCCTCAACCTAGAATCTAAGAGGGTAACTTTGGTTGCTTATTAGACTTTCCTGCGGTTTATGACCCTCTAACCACACACGGTCATTCGATTCTTCGAGTCATAGTTGTTAGCTAGGGGGAGCAACACCCGGGTGAAGCTTTCTCAACTAGAGTCAAATCCATTTTACCTTTGCAAAGTAATTTAGTTTTCAGTATTTGTTTTCACCAAAACCGATCATCTAGATAATGTTTCAAACAGTCGAAGTAGCAGTACATGGACCAGCCCGGGTCAATATTTAAACATACTTGCCCTATATTGCACCTATCTAAGGTTTATACTTGGACCTTAGGTGATATTTTATTGTGATAGTTAGAGCGAGTCACCATTACAGGCTGACTGGGGCTGCATGAAGAAATTTACTGGCAGCAGAGTCCCGGATTTCTTGGTTAACCGAGGGTGACTCAAATACCAGGTTCTTTCACTTAACTACTTTACAACGACGTAGGAAGAATCAGCTTCTGGTTCTTCGTGATAAATAGGGTACTGTTTTTTCTGATGAGCCTTCCAAAGGTAATATTGATGTCCATTATTTTGTCAACCTCTTCACTTCATAAGCAATGTCATGTGTTTTGTTCAACTCTCGATTACTTTTACCGAGCTTGGTGTTACCTTCGATGAATGTTATGCTCTCTGCTTCAGTGACTAGGGTTGAGATTCGTAGTGCGGATTTCAGTATTGGGGGCTTTCAAGCCCCAGGTTCTGATGGCTTCACCGGTATTTTTTATCAATATTTTTGGGGTTTGATAGGGGATTCGGTGGTTGCTGCTGTGTTGGAATTCTTTTCTTCCGACCATCTTTTACCCAATTTTAACCATACTTGGATTTCTCTTCTTTCCAAGGTTCCTAATGCAGATTCTATGCGTCAAATGCAGCGCATTGGTCTTTGTCGGTTCTTCTCAATGGCACTCCTCATGGTTTTTTCATCCCTAGTGGGGCCTGCAGCAGGGTGACCCTTTGTCACCTTTGCTTTTTTGCTTTGAAAACATAAGGTTTCTCTGCGTTGCTTTCGCAAACTGTGAATGCAGGTTTCCTACATGGTGTGAAACTACATCGTCGATGTCTTGTTATTTCTGACTTGTTCTTTGCATATGACTCTTAACTCTTCCTCCGAGCTTCTGTTTAGGAATGTCATAATCTGCTTCATATCCTTCATTCCTATCAGCAGGTAAGTGGACAGAAGGTGAATCTCACGAAATCTACTGAAACATCCCACTACTTTGAACTTGGAAAAAGACATTTCTACCCCGGGGTATAATTAAAAATCTCAAATAACACAAATTTACATAAAATAGCAAACTCAAATATCTTAATATCTCAAAGCGAAGCCCAAAACACGTGGGCAATACTTAAATCGTCCAAAAGAAATGAATCTCCAGTCTTTAACTCTTAACCATACAATCTTAATAACTTAAAAATTTCTTCGGTGCTTACTCGGATGCCTGGCTCGACATCTCTTAGCGACGGTGGTGTTGAGCTCCTCTAGCTTGTTGATCACAGACTGGCTGGTTAGGATCTCCTCCTCTACGATCTGGTGAGTGAGTTGGGGCCAGTCTACGCCCTACTTAAACTTGAAACACCTAAGATTATTCTCTAGAAGCTCACAACAAACTTGTGAAAATGATTTCTACTCTCGCCTTTCAAACTTTAACTCTTGTAAAATGTATTATTTCATCCTTTATCTTACTTTAGGGCCCCCTACCTCGACTTAGCTAGCATCACTACTAGCCTTACTTAATTTCTTAATCATGACTACCCTCACAATTAGGGGTGTTCAAATGGTTACCGTGGTAATAACCAAACCAATTAAGCCTAAATTTCATTAACCATGGAATAAAATGTCCTACCAAACCGTCCAACGAAAACCAAATTAACGAAACCAAAGTTTGGGTTAATCGAATAATCGGATTAACCAAATAACATAACATTACATGAAAACTATTATCATGTTAATGAATAAAACATAACCATATGTTATTACTATCATAAACTATCATTATATATAAGCAATAATAATAAGATTAACTATCCATGATTATCATCATCATTCGAGTTAATACATCATTAATCATCTCTGCACCTAATATAGTTAGCTTACAACAAACCCTTATCATAAAATATTAAATACATACAAATACCATTCATCAAGAAGTTAAAGCTCTCCTACAAAACACTTAAACTATACATAGTTTGAGGTGGCTATCATGGTACTGTACGTAATCCTAAAGTCTAGTAGTTGTCCAAAATGTTTTGGTTTAGTAAATAGGCAGACTCATTTAATTTTTGACCGATAATGCTTTGGTTTTTTTGTACATGGAAATAAAATAGGGAATCACGAAAGTTTGGTTTGGTTGGTTGCATGGAAGTATACATAATTTTGTATGTTACGTGTATCATTAATTGGTTTCATTGGTTAGCAGTCTTGAAACCAAACCAAACCACCTAAACCAAATAAGCTAAATTATTTAACCAAACCAAACCAGTTATCCAAATTAACCGAATGCTACCGGTTAATATGGTTACCACGGTAACCAATCCGTTTGAACACCCCTACTCACAATGGGGTGCCCCTCAAATGGGTTTGACCACCGCGGAACGAATCACCATCCGGTGTCAAACTACGACGTGACTACCACGGAACGTATCACCATCCGGTAGCACACCTAAATCTAAGCAATGGAAACCGCGGAACTCATCACCGTCCGGCTCCACGCCTGACCAACTACCGCGGAACGTATCACCATCCGGTAGTGATCAACTACCGCGGAGCTTATCACCGTCCGGTAGGGATCTGTCTAGCTAGTGGCTAGCTAAGCGAGGTTACCTATCTTTACTCGTGACTTTGTCTTACTCTTAATGCCATAACTTATTAAACGACGAAGCATTAAAAATACTCATTCTTAAACTTCGTAAAAACATAAACTTAAATTCTTAAAATAGATATTGAAATGCTGAAAACAATTACTCAAGTCGAAGCATGAATAATCAACACAATCATAAATCAAACAGTGCACACACACTTCACGCAAATCAAATACTTGAACATGTAAGGCGTAGAATTTACCCCCTTT